TATTGTATTGTATTGTATTGTATTGTATGACCCTGGGATACTGCAACCGTCAAAAAAACACATGCCACTTCCCCAAGCAGCCAAATCACGTGACCATGGGAGTGCCCGCCTGGTTGTTAAGTGTGAAAAATGGTCATAAGTCACTTTTTCTCAACGCCGTTACGGTATTATGTCACTAAACGGATGATTCAAAGCCGAGGACTCCCTGTGCAGCTTATTGAGTTGCGTTAACCTTCTTCTTCGTACCATTCCTCCCACCCACCCACCCCGGTTTATTTGCTGAGTCATTTGATGGTTCCAGCCGAAGAATACCTAATTTCTCCAGCCTGACTCACTCCCGACTGCTGAGGCAGAGGTTTTCCCCCTCAGGAATCACACCCTCCTCTCGATTTTGTAAGCCAACCTCATTTTTGTTCAGGCTCCTGTCTCTCTTGTAGTAACTCCTTTCCGTGGCTTCTCCCACCTGCCCACCAAGGCCACAAAAGCTGAGGAAGCTCTTAGTGGAATCTCTGCTGAGGCAGGAGAGATTCAGTTGTAAAGAAGCAGGGGGGCGGACTGGGGATTTCTAATGTTTCTCTCCCCCCCCTTTTTTTTTAATAACCAGAGGAAGTGGAGGGGCTGTTTGTAACCCACCTCACGTCAACACTGAGCAACAGCGGGGGGAGGGTCGAAGGCCTTAGGAAGGCCGAGCATTTTTGTAATGAAGTGTAATTTTAATGAGGAAATTAGCATGCTCTGTGTGTTGCCGGCTGGGCCCTCCTCTGGGTGTGTAATGGTGTGTTTGTGTTTTAATGAGTAACGTCGCCAGTGTAGATGGCGTATTAGGGAGTGAGCACGTGGGGAGAGAAGAAGTCGGCCTCTCCACAGTCATTGTGTGCTAGATTTCAAAAGGAGAAATGCAGGGGGTTTGGGGTTTGGCTTCTGTTGCTGCCGGTTCGCTCAGGGACGCGCTTGATGTGCGCTACGCACACATGTACAGTAGTAAAAATATGGCCGTAGGCGCCAGCATAATGAAAATTTACAAATATTTATTAGAAGTAGCATTAGAAGAAGAAAAAGTTAAAGGTTGCTTGGGCCAAAAACTTTGGTTACAACATAGAACTAGGGGATTGGGAAAGAATTTGGAACACAAATTATAAACTAACATGATCAGCAGCACTTAAAAGAAAATATATACAAAATGTTTTATCGTTGGCATTTATCACCAACAAAATTGGCTAAAATGTACCCAAACATGAAGCCGACCTGCTGGAAGTGTAACAAAGTACACGGGACTTATTATCACATATGGTGGACCTGCCCGGAAACACAAAAATATTGGACAAAAATTTGGAAATGGGTGCAAGAAATTACAGGAGAACAGATAAAATACAAACCCGAAATCTTTCTACTGGGAATAATCAAAGGGAAATATACGAAGAAAATTAAGTACATATTAACACATCTGCTAACTACAGCTAGAATAGCATTTGCCCAATGCTGGAAACAAATAATACCCCCTCAGACGAATTAGTGATAAAAAAAACTTTGGATTGTGCAGAGATGGACAAATTAACACTGAAATTAAAAGATAAAGAAGAGTCAGAATATTATGAAATTTGGAACAATTGGTACAAATGGCTGCAAAACAAGAATAAAATTAATTAAGCCAAAAAACAATATATATAAATATATATAGAACTGTGTATAAAGTGTGTAAATATAGAAGTGAAATATTATATACATGTACAGGTATGATGACATAACAATAGCAATAGCAGTTAGACTTATATACCGCTTCATAGGGCTTTCAGCCTTCTCTAAGCGGTTTACAGAGTCAGTATATTGCCCCCAACAATCCGAGGTGGGTAAAATCCTCATTTTACCCACCTTGGAAGGATGGAAGGCTGAGTCAACCTTGAGCCGGTGAGATTTGAACAGCCGAACTGCAGAACTGCAGTCAGCTGAAGTAGCCTGCAGTGCTGCATTTAACCACTGCGCCACCTCGGCTCTGGTTAACAACCAACAATGTTGATGTTATGACTGTAAGGTGTTGTAGAAGGGAAAAAATAAAATAAAAATCTGCTAAAAAAAAAAAAACCAGATGCTGGCGCCTATGGCGCTGTTGATAGAACAGGTTCAGGGGCGTGGCCAGCCAAGTTACTACCTACTCAGCCGAACCGATCTGAACTGGTAGGAACCCACCTCTGGAGATATGCCTTATAGCTAAGGTACATTGCTGACTGCTCTCTCCTAGTGACATGGTCAGGCGCAAAACAATGTGATCACATTTCCTTGAAGTCAAGCTTGACCCCTGGTGACTTACACGGCCACATCTGTGCAACCTTTTTCTTGTAATAACAAGGATATGGGTCACCACTGGCTTCTCCCTGAGCTCTGTGTTTTGCATTTGGACTCTGTGGTCCAGTGGCACCCAACTTTTTGGGCACTGGGATTGGTCCCATGGAGAAAGGTTGTTGTTCCCCACACTAGAAGTGGTTTTGTGTTCTGCCTGCATCCCACGGATCAAGCTTCACTTGTTTGCGGGGACCGGATGTTGGCATACCGCGGGCGAGTGCCTGTCCATGGACCGGGGATTAGGGACCATTCTAGCCTACAATTCTGGGACTTTGTATTGTTCTCCCGTTTACAATGCTCTCTCATTCATATTCAACCTTGTGTAGCTTTTTAAGGTCCAAAGTTACGCAGCCTTAACTCATAGACTCATAAGTGGAGCAATTGAGTTCATTTCAAAGGACCTCTATAGAATATAGAATCATAAGGCTGCAAGGGACCTCGGAGGTCTTCTAGTCCAACCCCTTGCTCAAGACAGGAACTTTACACCATCCCACTTTCCTCTTGAAGGAAAAGCTTTTGCATGTTGTTGTAAGGTACAGATTCCTTGTGCAATGTTCACCTTTTGCAGGGAACAAAGCAGTGAAGTCCTGCGGTAGCTTATTATCAGGGAACATTTTCTGGATCAGGGTTCAGCAAATTCAGGCGTTTATTGATCCAGAAGGGTTTCATCTATAAATGTCATAGGATATCTTTTGCCTTTCATATTTAATTCTTGGACAAAATGTGGGATTTTTTGCTGAAGTCATACTTATCTAGCAGATATATGAACTAGGTATGTTGCCACTTTGGAAATTGCCATTCTGAGTTTAGTGACCACAGATATTTTCCCGGGAAAGAAATAATTGGCTATGGATACCAAAAATCAAAATTAGATTATCTTTGAAATCCTAGTCTCTAAATTTGTGGGGGAGTGAAAAAAAAAGTTACTTTCTATGGAGTCAGATTACTGATCTGTCTTCTAGCAATACATTTTCTGTCTGTTTCCATTAAAGAAATGGATAAAATGGAAATACCCAAGGATAACACTCCCCCCCCCCGCAACTGTTTATTACTAAGGTTGAAGTGGGATGAAGAAGGCTCAATGATATGAATCAGTACGGTCATCTTCTGTCTGATAACATGCACTGTTGTGGTCTTGGTTTTTCCCCCCAGGAATGAAGCAGTACGAAGACATTGGCACCCAGTATCGCTCGGCCATCTACACTATCGGAGCAGAACAACTGGAATCTGCTTTAAGATCCAAGGCAACGTATGAACAGGTATAGGAGAATTATGGACAGATGGGGACAGGAGATTGAGGTCTTGGCCTATGGTGCTGCTATTTATATTATTAAGGTTGACTCTTGTTGGCATTAACTTGGTAATGCTTAGGTTCCTAGCTATGGATTCCCATGAATAGCCGAGGTGGCAGTGGTTAGAGTGCGGTACTACAGGCTACTTAAGCTGACTGCTAGCTGCAGTTTGGCCGTTCAAATCTCACCAGCTCAAGGTTGGCTCAGCCTTCTATCCTTCCGAGATGGGTAAAACGAGGACTCAAATCGTTGGGGGCAATAGGCTGACTCTGTAAAACCTCTTGGAGAGGGCATTAAAGGCACTATGAAGTGATATATAAGTGCAAATGCTATTGCTATCTAAAGGTAAAGTTAAGGTTTCCCATGTCCAGTCATGTCCGACTTTAGAGAGTGGTGCTCATCACCATTTCTTAGCCGAGGGAGCCAGGGTTGTCCAACTGCACTTCTGTGGTCATGTGGCCAGCACAACTATACACCAATTTGCACAGCACACTGTTACCTTCCTACCAAAGTGGTACCTATTTATCTGCTCACATTGGTACCAGAAGTACGTTCCTGAAGTTCTGGTTTGCCCGTAGGGCCAGTTTTTCATGCTCCGGAGGATTCAAGGAAGCCTCCGGAGGGTGAAAAATGGCCTCAAAAGAAGACCAAAGTCCAGCTGATAGGGCAACAAATGGATCTGCGTGCCACCTGTGGCATGTGTGCCATAGGTTTCCCATCATGGCCCTAGGCAGTGGTGGGATTCAGCCAGTTGGCACCACTTCGGGAGAACCGGTTGTTAACGTTCTGAGCAGTTTGGTGAACTGGTTGTTGGAAGAAATCATTAGGGCAGAGAACCATTTGTTAAGTTATTTGAATCCCACCACTGTGAGAAGAGGGACTGGTTCAAAGCCATCCAGCCAGTTTGGGTGCCTAAGGGAGAACTAGAATTCACAGTCTCCCAGTTTCTACCCAAGTGCCTTTAACCAAGGCACCAAACTGGTTCACTGCTGAATTGTTTGGATGTGAAGAAGATTTTATAAGAGCTAAGTCGAAACCCCTTTCATCTTCATTTCCCATGGGATTTGAATTCAATGCTCTGGAGTCTTGTTAGAGGAGGACAGTACTTCAGATATTTTCACTAACATGTTGCCTCTTAATAATCTCTTTTTAAGGCTAAACATATCTTAATGCCTTCAGCTTTTTCTTGTTAGGGGCTCATTAACCAACAGAGGTTTGAAGTGGCAATCTAATTATGCCAGGAAGGTATTGTTCTTTGCACGCCATGTTTTCAGACAAGCTTCATTTTTATAGAAGCTGCTACTTATGCTTAAAGAAAATAGTATAGCTCTTAATCTCTAATGCCCTAAAGTGCTCTGGACTCTCGGCCAATCTTGTCTGCCAAGCTGTCTAGGACTGTAATTCTCCTAATACGCAGATGCTGGTTCAGCAATAGTGTGTGTGTGTGTGTGTGTGTGTGTGTGTGTGTATGTACACACACACACACACGTACACACACACAGAGTTCTTGTCTTACAATTATTCGTTTAGAGCAGGGGTGTCAAACTCGATTTCATTTAGGGCTGAATCAGGGGCCCTGGTGTGTGTGACTAGGGTGGGCGTGGCCAGCTTGAGGTCACTCATGTCAGGGGTGCCTGTGGTGGCCCGAGTACTCTACCATTGAATATGTGCTCCTGAGCTCCGTTTCCGGCTGCAAAGGCCTCTTGCAAACCTCTTCCAGCAAAAATGGAGCTCTGTTTTCACGGGCAGAGGCACCACGGGCCGCTCCTTCACTGTTTCCAGGGTGGTCCTGTGGGACAGATCTAAGCACCTCGTGGGCCAGATCTGGCTCCCAGGTCTTGAGTTTGACACCCATATAATATTGGTGACAATTTCTAAAGCCTTCCAGCTGGGAGTTACGTATATGGATCCACAATTTTCTATGTTACGCTGACAGATGTCTGGGTGGATCCAGTACAGCTGTTTTTCCACAATTGTATACAGAATGTCCTCTGTCAAGATGTCTGCTGGTCCCCAGCCGTGGCAGCTCGGCCCCTTTCAGCAGCTTCCTGAAAAACTGTGCCCCCCCCCCCCATCTTGTGGCTTCACACTGTGTTCTTTTTTTCCACAATGTGGTTCTTTTATGGGTACAGTCTGTTTTGGAAACATGTTTAGAGAGACCCTTGAGGTATCACTTAAATAAGCCGTCATCAGGAGGACGCTGGGTCTTTCCAGCAACGGGTTCACGGTGGAGCTGGTAGGGAATCTGTTTTTCTTTCTCCCTCATGCGCACATACTCTGTCCTTCACACACACACTTCTCTCTCTCTCTCTCTCTCTCTCTCTCTCTCTCTCTCTCTCTCTCATACACACACACACACACACACCCTCAGGGACTCTGAAGTGGCTGTTTTTTGTTTCGGTCCTCTCCAGTGAATAGAACCTGCCCCCAACGCCTTGCCCCATAACAAAGACAGAGAAGCGAGAGTACAGATAATTGCTCCGCCAAGGCCATTCATGCACTCTGGATGGAGAGAAGAAGAAAAAAACAGGAGGGGGGAGGGAGAGATGTCTCAGTTTCCCTGGCAACTTGCCATGAGGTTGATTGGCAGCTAGAGAGCAAAGGTCACGGGAGAGGCAGGTGCAATATCTCCCCTCCGCCTGGGCCCATTTGGAAATGATTCATTGCCATAAGCAGTTGCCCCTCCCCCCAAGTAGGACAATTAAGGGCAACCCCAGCTTAAAATTGGCACGTGCTGGCTGGACATCAGTGGGGGGGGGGAGGTGGGAGGGGAGGAGGCTATTTCTTGGGAGCTGGCAATCTGTTGGTGGGGAGTGTGTGTTGTGTATTTCCAAGCTCAGTGGCTAAGACGCTGAGCTTGTCGATCACAAAGGTCGGCAGTTTGGCGGTTCAAATCCCTAGCGCCGCGTAATCAAGTGAGCTCCTGTTACTTGTCCCAGCTTCTGCCAACCTAGCAGTTCGAAAGCACGTAAAAATGCAAGTAGAAAAATAGGAACCACCTTTGGTGGGAGGTAACAGCATTCCATGTGCCCGGCGTTTAGTCACGCCGGCCACATGACCACAGAGACGTCTTCGTACAGCGCTGGCTCTTCAGCTTTGAAATGGAGATGAGCACCGCCCCCCCCCCAGAGTCAGGATCGACTAGCATCTATTTGTGAGGGGAAACTTTACCTTTAATGAGGCTGAGATCAAGGGAACTGGGGCAGTTTTGGAAGTGCCTCAGGTAAGGGCCGAGGTGGCGCAGTGGTTAAATGCAGCACTGCAGGCTACTTCAGCTGACTGCAGTTCTGCAGTTCGGCTGTTCAAATCTCACCGGGTTCAGGGTTGACTCAGCCTTCCATCCTTCCGAGGTGGGTAAAATGAGGACCCGGATTGTTGTTGGGGGCAATATGCTGACTCTGTAAACCGCTTAGAGAGAGCTGAAAGCCCTATGAAACGGTATATAAGTCTAACTGCTATTGCTAGGGCAGAGTCATTCCAAAGATGCCAACATTGCTGAGTTTTTATGATGCGGGGAGGGTGGGGTTGGGGAGGGCTAGCAGAACAGCCTTTTCCCCCCAGCTAGGGGTTGGGGTTTCCTTTATTGTTTCTTGGAGCAGGGATTTTCATAAGGAGCAGGGTTGAAACACCTTTGGACAATTTTCTCAACAATTCCAAAGTTGGGGGCACCTTTAGACTGCCAGAGGCTTTTACCACTCTGATTGGGTTGCTTGTTGTGGTTTTTAACTAGAGCTAAGTAAAACAGGCAGCTGAAAATTGCTATTTGGTTGGTAGCCCTCTCTAAGTGGTTTATAGAGTCAGCCTCTTGCCCCCAACAGTCTGGGTCCTCATTTTACCCACCTTGGAAGGATGGAAGGCTGAGTCAACCTTGAGCCAGTGAGATTCGATCTGCCAAACTGCAGCTAGCAGTCAGGTGAAGTAGCCTGCAGTACTGCACTCTAACCACTGCAACACCTCGGCTCCTAAAAGATATTTAAATCAACACACTAGCAAGATGTGATGGTATTGAATAACTGCTAGCTTTTTAGTCTTATCATAACTGGTTGAGCTTGAGTGATGCGGTGGCCTAGAAGTGTAGCTCTTGCCTCACAATCAGGAGGCTGTGAGTTCAACCCTAGGTAGGGGCAGATATTTCTCTTTCTGGGCACAATGAGATTATATCTGTTGAATATAGCTCCAGAGTGGGGACAGGAAGGGCATCTGGCCAGTAAACACTCAGCTCCATTCAATTGCCCAGACTGCACCCTGCAAGGGATTATGGGGTCATTAAAAGATGATGATGATACTGGTTGAGCTTGGACAGGTACTGGTACAACAATTCTTAGAATCAGTCCAATCTTGATTATCTGCCCTGAGCTATCCATGGTCCTGAAAATGCTTACAGCACTGTAGCTGTGAACAGCCCAGCTTTGTCTCTCATAGCATTTGTCCTTAAGCAAGTTTTCTTGAAGTTCTCAATCAAGCCAAGCTAGGGCAGAATTAAAACCAGAATAAGGCTTATTAAAGTAGAGATGTGGCAGAGTTATTTCTAGGAGGATAAAACACTTAGTTTCATTCCGGACACAGATCTAAGCTAAATCAAATTTGTATAGCTAGGCTAACTTTTGGTGAATGCTCCTCATTTGATGGCAACACCTCCAATTTTAGTCCCACTTTAGTGCCCTGTTCCTTTAGGATGCTTTTTGGGGGGTACAGAGTTTGCCTTTGGAGGAAGATAGAGAATGTTTTTTGTATTTCTGAAGTTGTGGAATAGGGCCCCATTTCTTCGGCTGCATCACATAAGCCTGAGATTTTAATATCTGTTTGGAAAATCAGGTAATGCACAAATCATTTTTTTTATTTTGCAATGTCAGAATGTGAGATTCACCAGGTGTTCAGCAATGCTCCTACTTGCACTGCTTTGGGCTATCTTATTATTTGATTTGTACATTGGTTGTATTGTCTAGCTAAGTACCAAATTAACACCCTCTCTCTCACCTCCCCCATTTCCTCTCCCTCAGCAGCCTTTCCTAAGCTAATATCCTTGAGAGTGACTCCACAGCCAAATTCCTTGATGATAGTGAATGATGGGTTGTGTAGCCCAATCAACTAAAGATTATGGATGTTGAATGCTTTAGCCCATCTCTTTATGTAGGGTACCAGTTTGTCTTTTGAAAAAATAGTGTTGGCAGTGAACCTTAACCCAATATGGCAACCATCTTATCATATATGCTTCAACCATTCAACTATTCTTATTAATATTCACACTGTAAACTGATCATAGTTGCCTTGAAATGTGAGATGGGTGAGCATATAAATCAGACAGATTAGATGGATAGACATAGAGGATAAGTCATATATGATAGATTAGATAGATGATAGAAAGATGATAGATGATATATTAGATAGATAGATGGATTATAGGATAGATAGATAGATAGATAGATAGATAGATAGATAGATAGATAGATAGATAGATAGATAGATAGATAGATAGATAGATACAGATAGATAGGCACACAGGCAGACAGAGACAGATATTCAATTCAATTTCAATTTTAATGGATTTGTATGCCGCCCAATCCCGGGGGACTCCAGGCGGCTTACATAAAAACAGTTTAAAAAAGAAGATATTAAAAATTTAAAATATAAGACAGAACAAATTAAAAAAGGACACAACAAGCACTCGATCTTAGTGGGGCTGAAAGTCAATCAAGATCAGCAGCCCCAGGCCTGCCAGAACAGACAGGTCTTAACAGACTTTCGGAAGGCTGAGAGAGTGGGGAGGGTCCGGATTTCAGGGGGTAGGTCGTTCCAGAAGGCCGGGGCAGCTACAGAGAAGGCTCTCCTCCGAGGAGCCACCAAACGACATTGTGCAGTCGATGGCACCCAGAGAAGGCCCATCCTATGAGATCTTATCGGCCGTTGGGAGGTATGTGGCAGGAGGCGGTCTCGCAGATATCCGGGTCCTAGGCCATGTAGGGCTTTAAAGTTGATAACCAGCACCTTGAAGCTCATTCGGAGACCGATAGGGAGCCAGTGCAGCT